GTTTCAGCCAGATAACCTGTGCTCCATCTAGACTAGGCATCCTTATCCTCATTAATTTTTGTTAGACTTTGTCTATAAGCTTTATTTATGGATTAGCAGCACTGCCTTATGAGTTACACTTGGTGGTTTCTGATTACTGAGGAGACTAATTTGGTGCTCTGCAAGGAAGACAGTGTAATTCCTGTTTGAGCTTTATTTTCTGGGATAGATGAAAGGTTGCTTTGCTGATCCTAAGCACTTAAGTACTGTGGGCTTATCCTTCCAGCATCATGAGAGTGCAAAGTGAGTAATAGGTTGGACCTTTTTCATATCTCCTGGGGTTTCAAGGCTTATAGGGTCATGTTTCCCAGCTTTTCTCTCTCCAGGGACAAAACTGGAATTCCCACTGATATTCCCACCCAAGTGGGTGGTTTTACCAACATGGCCACATATGTGCCTGTGGATATGGAGAGCGTCGGAGGTAGTCCTTGCTTCCAGCACTTGTTGCCTGGGGTCAGTGCGCATCGAAGGTGTGGGGCAGCCAGAGAAGAGAGGAGCCCTGCCTGTTTGATGGCAGCCTTCAGCTGAAGCTCAGGGTTTGTTACAGGGATGCAGCTGTGAATCATTTGATGTTAAGGCTTGCAGAAAATAATCTGTCGAGTAGTCCCAGCTCTTTGCTGTTATTGGCTTGTTCTGCCTGCTTCCCCCCCTCCCCGGCCCCAGTACTCACTGTCTCTACTACTGATATAGCACATAAAGTTCAGCACGTCGTTTGAAGAGGCCAGTTTTCATTGTAAGAGGACCAGTGATTCCTCCTCTATCCACCCACGTTTGAAAAGCCAGTTTCTATTAGCGTGGCTCTTGTGGGCTCCTGTCTGCAAGGTACGAAGCCGGTTTCTAATCTGATTGTTGCCAGTTTAAAGGATCAGCTCACACCATTGCTGTCCGAGAGGCTCTTGCTGCTGTCCTTCATTGCAGCCATCTCTCTCTGGCCTGGCCTGAAGTGCGCAAGCAAGAGGCTGCACAGATGTTAATGCTCCGTGCCTGCAACATTTTGTGGTTGCTACTAAAAATAAAAAGAGTGAAATTAATTTGCTAATAATGGATGTGCTACTAACAGAAACACATCCCACTTGTACCTAACACCAGCAGGTTGTTTATGGCATATTTGCTATGTCTAAAAATACTCTCTTTTTTTTCTAGCAACCAATTTCATTTAAAGACTTATTTTCACACATCAGTGGCTGTTAATCAGTTAAGGAGTTATCAGTTTTAATATTAGGAAGAAAGAAGCAGATCTCATCAACAGCTTAAAACTTTATTTCATTTCTTTTCAGCTGGCTTGCAGCAGATTATGGGGAGTCTTAGGCTCATCTTATTTCTCCTCCTTTTCCTACCCCTTGAAGAGAGAGATAGTACCATTATGTGCGTGACTGTACTGTGCTAGTTCTATGTATCCTTTCAAGAATCATTGAATTAGAAATACTGAGATAAAAATGTAAGAAGACTAAAATAAGATTTAATTAGAAATTAAACCCCAGACACCCATGTAATTTTAAATAAAGCCATGTATACTTCACGAAGAGATTATAAGGTTGACTGTCAGAAGAGGAATGGTAAGATAAAGACCAAAACCCAAGGTACATGCAAGGTAAGCTGTTTGTGGCCCTGTTCTACTCTGAATCCGATTTCCAAAATAGCTGAGACATTACCACTGGTGGCAGAAAAATGACACGGTACTAACCCCTGCTTTTGGCTGTTGAGCTCAGCCAAGACTGTGCCTGTCTGGCTACCGTGATTCCTGCTCTGCAGCGTGGGGGCATAAGATGTTCCTGGGTCAGCTTTTACCTAACAGCAGCCATTTAATCACAGCATGCCTGCTTATTAGAGGATTGCTGCTTGAACCACCTCACTGGCTCTCCTCTCCTTTGTGTCATGTACAAAGCAAACATAGGAAAGGGTACAGAGAAAAGCGTTGTAATAGATATTAGTTATGCCCGAAACACCCAAGCAGCTACAGCTGCTTCTGCTCCTGATCACGGTAGTCCAAGTGTGGTTTCCATCAGGAGTGGTCCCCAATCCGCTGGTCACAAAAGGCTGGCTGTTCTGGGGGAACCCTGCAAATTCCCCTCTGTCCTCCCCAAAGCATCTGCTGCAGGGGTGTGGACTGGGCATGCCAGCACTTGCTGTGGTGATTCTTGCATTTATTTTTATCTTCTGTCCTCCCTTTTTTTGCATATCCCATCTCGTGTCCCTGAATTCTTCCTTTCTAACTGACACAAGAGTGTTTCACTTAAATACGACAGCACGCTGCTCTGCTGGCTGTTTGTTATGAGAACTCATGTTGAAATCTTCAGTATAATTTAATGCTCTTGAATGTTCCTCCTTATACCTTTTGGATAGAGAAGGGACTTGCTTGACCCATGGGAGCCTGCAGATTATACAAAAATTGATTCAGTTCAGGTTTATTTCACATCCCTCATTAAAACACGGGTTATTGGCGTTGTACATCTGCTGGCTCCGTACTTATTCATGAAAACGAAACATTCCCTTTGAGCTGAGCTACGTATCATACCGTCATTAACAAGCTGCACCTCGTTGAAAATCTGTCAAGGAAAACTGACTTATTTTGCATTTGCTGCTTTGCACAAAATAGAAGCACAGTAAACTCTTGTGCTGTAATGATTTTCTGTCTGTCTTGATGGGACATAACGAGATAAATTCAAGTCCTTTTTTGAAGGCTAATTACACTGAGTACACACTAGATGTGGGCTGCCCTCGTTATATGTTGCGCATTTTTGTGCTTTCATTTCCCCATCTCTATTGTCTGTGTGTGCAGCTGAGTTTGATTTGGCTTTGAAATACAAATTGTAGGCTAGAGAGGAGCAGTTTGGTGGTCTTCTCTCCCAGAAGACTCTTCAGAGATTGTATAACAAGTCCTTGCTGTAGGTAGGGTAGCATTTGAAGGTGGCTGTGAAGTAAATAAAAAAACTTAACTCTGTGCTAGAAACCGAGGAACGTGCCATAAAGCATGAGGGCAGCTTGTGGCAAGTCTGCTAACAGCCATCAAGAATAAATTCAGCCCTAGGTCTGTCCACTGGCCCTGGTGTACGGACACAAAGCAGATGAACTGCGTCCTGTAGAGTTCACAGCCTAGGTACGGAGCACTAGTTGGATGATTAGCGATTATGGAAATTGTGTTTTTAAAACCTGTAAATCCCTCCAGTCCTATTAGTTGTTCTCTGCCTGTCTTGTGGGAAGAAAGGGGAGCTGGGGGAAGGTGGGGGAGGGTGCCTGGTTTGGGCAGGTCAGTAGGGATGGAGATGAGCATCCCCTAGAGTAGGATGGAGAGGCTGCAGGTGCATGATGGAGACCTGGCAGCCCATAGTGGGCTTGGCAAATGCTTCAAGGTTGTATGGTGCTTGCTGTGAGAGCTTCGTGGTCCGGGCAAGACTGGAGGTGGGGCCTGGGGGAGGTCTACTGGATGCTCTTGGATCACACCTCTTTTGATACATGAGTGATCTTCATCAGCAAAGACTTACTGGGTGGCTCTAGGAGTTAGGAGTTGATGTGCAAATATCTCACCTTTGTTGAAGAATCTGGTGACGTAAAAGGGAAGATGTCGAGAATGTTTCTCTGGTACTGCAGGAAGCAGAGCCAACTTTAGGGGCAGTTGTCCTAGTTGGTCCATCAGAGGAAAAGGAATCATTAGTTAAGACCTATACTTTATCTACAGTGAAGATGAATTCTGTCATCACTGGCTGAATTTTAGCACATGACCTTAGTGCTGTGATTGTCTGGGACACTCCTGGTGGGAGAATATTAATGCTTTTGCTGTGAGCTCATTTTCTTTGCAAGCTAATTACAACTGGGGAGGTTTGAATGCAGATGGAAAGGCTCTGGGATTTCCAGGTAACTTCTGTAAGTCTCATAGCAGACCTGTTCATCATTGATAGCATACTGGGCAGAATTATTTTAGAATCTTTCTGAAGGAAAAAAACATAGCAGCACTTTGGAGCTGCTTTAACATGTTTCCATGTCTCTGCTTTTTAAGACAAACAGCAAATCATGTTTTCTTCCTTTTGCTAACAGTGGGTTTGTAATTCTACATGTAATGGTACGATTACAGGGCCAGCTGTTTTTTTCCTAAAGCCAGGGTGAATATATGCAAACCTGTGGTTGTCACTGCTCCTGGCTGAGTGTGCGCACACAGGTGAAGTTACAGAGTGCTTTGCATAGGTGAAAGAGTACTTGTTTCAGGAGGCTGGAAAAAAGATATTGCTGTATTCACTTCAAATTATTTAAAAAAAAAAAAAAAAGAAAAAAAATCCCAAGCTACTCTTAGCCATATATTATATTTGTGAGAACAAAAATCGTTCTTGTATCAAGTCTTTGTGCCTTGTAATGCATATGTATTGAAGCTGGAAGGAATATCTTGTATGGCAAACATGCCTGGTTCAGGCTATACCCAGAGCAGTCTGTCTTATGTGGAGCACTTTAAAATTCATCACAGGTTTGCAGCGAAAAAGACCCTAGGGAAGTAGCCTTATCACAATGTCTTAAAGCTGTCCATCTTGAGATCTCCTCCACCACCGTGTTGGTATTTGTTTGCTGAGGCATTGATTTCTAGGTGTAGAACGTCTTAAATGAAAACCATAAGATGTATTTTACCTGTTTTTCTAAGACTGAATGAAAAAAACCCCAAACGCTGTAATGTTTTCTAAAGCAGAGCCCAAAAAAGATGTTAACTCTAATGCATTCAACAAGGAAAATAAATACCCAGCAAAGGCAGATGCTAGGGGAAAAAAATGATCAACAGCTTCTCATTCTCTTTTCACGCAGATATTTAAGTATGCACTGTCTGTTAGTAGCATAGACTGTTGTAAAGTATGCAAACCAAATAGCTTTTGAGTGTTTGTTTTCTAGCTGAAGATATGTTTTGTTTTTTTTTTTTTAAAAGGAAATGTGAAGAGACTAATTTTATGATGGAAGAGCTTAGTCTGTGGTTCTTCTTTTCACAGTATGCAGACCTGGGTTCTTCAAAGCTTCACCCCACAGTCCATCCTGCAGCAAATGTCCCCCTCACAGCTACACGCTTGATGAAGCATCCACATCTTGCCTGTGTGAAGAACACTATTTTAGGAAGGAATCAGACCCACCTACAATGGCCTGTACAAGTAAGCATGTGCTTATAGGGTTGTTTTTAATCCTTTCAAGCTGTTCCTGTACTGTGACTGGACATTATGATCCTAATTAATGTGCTTTTACAGGCTCTGGGCTGGAGTCTGAAGTAGTCTTGACACACTTGTAATGTCACTGGCTTTGTCTACCGTACCCCCGGTTGCACAAGAACAGACTTTTTGAAGCCTTTTGCTTCAAAAGCTGGCATTAAGCCCAGGAAGCATTTTTGTAACGAGGGGTCGCTCCGTCTTTTGCTGTCCACTCATGGGCGGACTCAGCCAGCAGCATGGCATTCAGACATCCGCATCCGTGCGTGCATGGGTACTGGTGTGGGGCATGCATGCGGAGGAAACAATGGGTAGCGCTTGTCAAGCAGTAGGCATGGATAGAGTCTACATGGCCTTGCTTAGTATCATCTCTTAGCTCATTTTCAGTAACGAGCAGGGAGAGACCCCTACCTTTCCAAGCTTCCTGGAGATGGTCTTTCTTCAGGGTAGCCTCAAAACTCTGTGACGGAAACTGCTTCTCCAAACCTGCAGCAAAAATTTAGAGCTTATCCCCTTGGTGTAGGGGGAGGGTAGCATAACAAGCAAATGGGGGTCTTGCGAGTCCAAAGTGGAGTCGGTGGAATAAGAATCACTAATTTTGCCCTTTTCCTTCCATCTGTGAGCTATCCTGTCAGCTACACCTTGAAAGTTTCTTGTTCAGTTTATGTTTCAGATACTTAGGGCCACAATTCGCATGCCCCCAGCTAGTCGCACTGAGTGTAGCACAGACCACAGGTTTTTGCTGAGCTGGGTCGGTCATGGTCTGAATGTGATTTTTGTGGTGCAAAAGTTGTTAAAAAAGACCGAAAATGAGCTGAACTACTGGGGCAGGAGCAGGTAGAGCTTCCAAGGAACTTAAGCAATGGAGGAAAAAGTAGGTTTATGAGTCCTTTCACACTCAGTGCCACTGGGCAACAGTGCAGAGGTGACTTCCATACTGTTTCCTTGCATAACGCATGCATGGTAGTGGCTTTTTGTGCCTTTGTTCCCGTGAAAACAGATGTCCTTCATAGCTTCCCAGGTTTGCACTTCAAAAAGAGAAAGAAAAAGTCTGTTCCTGTTGGAGATACACTCTTGCAAAGGAATTGCCCTCGGCAGGTGTCTGCTTACCTGCAGGAGGCACTTGGGGCAGAATCGGGGCCCCTGAACTCTGCGTTCACTTTTCACGAGCCGAAGAAGCATGAAGCACGTGGCTGTTGGAAGGTGTTCTGCAGGGAAGGAGAAGACAGCCTTAGGCAGTGTGGCAGTAGCTGGTGCTGTCGGATCAAAGTGGTCTGCGGGGGGAGAGTCATGCAAGCACTTCTCAGTTTATTAAATAGATATGCTGGTGTCTTTTGGAGCAGTAGCGGGGGTTGGGTGGGTGGGTTACAGCATAAAAAACTTTGATACCAGGGCTTCTTGATGTCCATTTTGCCCCTCGGCCTGACTTAAAAAACATAGATAAACGAGAGACGTTGAGGTCCAGTGTGGTATTGGGAAATGGGAAAGGAGAGGAGTACTCTGAGCTCTGGAAATGCACATAAAATTGGCTTTTCTGTGCAGGCAGAACCAAAGCCAGGGACTGATACAGTGTTATGCCAGAATGCTGGTGTCCACAGTGCCTCCTGCCCACCATCAGTGGTGTTGTTCTACGTCCCTTCTCAGGATGGAGGGGTACGAATCCAGTGTGTCCTGCTGGTGAATTAGCACAGGGAAGGAGCTGCCATCCCCGAGGATAAAAAGGTTTATGCATACCTGTGACCTGAGCATAGGGCAGGATTTTCGGAGAGGCACAAGCAAGCTTGGTGACCAGCTCATGTTAAAAAGAAATGAAATTTGAGTGCCTGTCTCGCCCAGGTTTCTGGTGCAATTTGAATCATGTAGGTAAAGGCTGTAATTTCTGATTCTGCAAATACCACGGGATTTTCTTTTTATGTTTGTTTGGGGGTTTTATGCGTATTTGTTTGGGGGGGGGGTTGGGTTTTTGTTCGTTTGTGCTTTGGGGTTTTGTTTGTTTGTTTGTTTTTTGTTGGGTTTTTTTGGTTGGTTGGTTTTTTTTGTTCTTTTTTTTTTAATTTTTTGGGGGGGTTTAATGTTTGGGTGGTTTTGTTTCAGGGTTTTTTTGTTTTGAAAGCTTACTATAACCTAGTTTAAAGTGCAGGCATGGTGCCTGAAGCTGTATTAGGATATGGCTTGGCAGGGTACTGAGTACTTCTCGGATAGATGAGAGTTTTAATGCTGACCAAGGCACTGCTCAGCTTCTGTTGCCCGCTGCAAACCCTAGTGCATCAGTTGAGCATGGTGCAGCATTTCTGCTGGCATTCATACTTACTACCCCAAAAGCAGAGTGGGTCATCTGAGCCTTCTCCCTGTGTTTTAGTCACTGTTGCTTGCCCTATGCATCCTTTCTTGGGATTTTGTCCTAATCCAGCTGTATTTCTGCTGAAGGTGATAAGGAGGGCCCATGTGCTACCCCAGCTCAGCTGGAGGGGTAGTAAATTTTGGCAGGGACAGTAAAGAGTATGTAGCGACACTAACTAGTCCAGTTAGGTCTGGAAGGGAACATCTCATCGTGAACTGAAACACAAGCAAGGCAGACTTGAGTCAGGACTGGTGGGAAGATACTGCAAGTTTTTGGTATGTTTCTATTATTTATTACCGCGGAAGATAATAATATTCTTAGGCTTCCCTCAACTTGAAATCTAGTTAATTTTAGAGAATACATCAATGTCCATTTTTAGCTCTACACTTGCAAAGTCCCCTTGCCGGTTGGTATAGCTATAAAATCACATTTTCCTAATTTAAAGTGAATGTTTTTCAGTCCCAAGCTGTATCAGTCACCCCACCGCCACCAGCATCACTAAAGAAAACTGCTACACCACTGTCAACCGCTCAGTTAAGTACAGTGGGGGAAAAAATATAAATACATTTTTATTTAACTTTTCCAGTTCCTTAAGCATGTTTTGTAAGTAATGATTGGTAATTTTGAAATTAATTGTGCTATGATGCAGTCTGAAATAATTATTGTCCTCAGACAAAACAAATGTTTGGTCCTGATGGGCATTTGAGAATTCTCTTAATATTATTATTTATCTTCCAGGAAGTAATTGCACTTTGTTTCTTCTAAACTAAGTAATCCTAGCTTCAGTTCCTAGCACAATATCTCTTTAAATTCAAAACATAGTTACACCCTTTTTTTTCACCTCCCATCTCTGTCAAGTAACCCTATTGCTGTTAAGAGCATACTGGGGAAATATTTTTAATAGTATGACACGTGGGACAAACTGAAGATTTTATAGTATTTAGTGTAGTATTCTATTCGTAAAAAGTTTACAGTTAACTATATTCTGAGTGTGTAGATACATATATTTGTATCTTGAAGGTAGTTTCTCTCTCAGGTTATATTTTAAAATATGTGCATCAGCAAACAACAGGTTTGCTCTCTGTCAAGAAAAATACCAATATCTTTGTGTTCAGAAAGTATTTGCCTCTGGTCAGTAAATTGTGGTGCAGAAGGGGTGAATCTTACCTCCTTAGGTTATAAAGTAGCAAATTAAATATATATATATAAAGAAAAAAAGTAAACTAATATCTTTGTCCTTGACAAAAGGAGGTTGGAAATGAAAACAGACCTTCTTAGCAGACCTAGGTCCCTCCTCTTCCAAAGGTAAAACACTGTTTTGTTCTTGCAGCTGTGATTTATCAAAGTTTTACCCAAGTGCGGTTTCAGGATTCTTCAAGTAGATCTTGTTAGATATCTGTAGACTACTAAAGACCTTTCTCTAAGCCCCTGTGAGAATGCTAATTTAATCGGTTATGAAGTCCCACTAGCTTCAAAGCACTTCCACTGAAGTTGATGTTTTTAAGCCTTCAAGAAGAGCAGCTGACTCTTCTGTACAAAGCAAGTAAAAACCTCTGGTGACTTTACAAAAGTAATAATTTATCCCCAGTTAAAGACACATTGTCCAGTAAGTGTTTCTTGTGCCTGACTACTTTATTTTTTCCTAGAGTGCTGGTAGCAGTAAAAGGGCATTCATCCAGTGGAAGAAAAAATAGGGCAATTTAACCGTTAAAAAACATATAAAAAAACCCCTGAGTGCGAGATACATATAACTCCACACAGCTCCAGTGATGAATTTCATAGTTTCCATTATATCAGTATGAGTATGACAGTGCAGAAAATAGTCCTGACTTGGACAGTACCTTGGTGTCATTAGCTAAATAGTGCTGGTTCCCACAGCACACGTTGCAAGCGGCATGCTCCGAAGTGATCTGAAGTGATCACAGAACAAAACAAAGCTGATCTGCCATTTCCTAAACTAACTTAGCTTTTGTCTTCAACTTCTTCCCCCCCTCCCCGCCCCGAAGAAAAAAAAAAAACCATATCAGGATTATTTATTTCTTCTGGCAGTGGGTTTCTCATTGAATCAGAACAGCTTGACTCGAAATCGTGACTGTTTTATCAGTGTTGCCAATTTTATAGACTTAAAAAGGGGAATAGGGAAGGGAAATAGAGGAAAATGCTTCTGGTTTATAAGATAATTTCATTTTTGCAACACTGCCTGTTTTAAATAACGAATCGAGTTTAATTATCACAACAAAATGAGAAGATGACAGTCTAAGACAGGCTGTTAAATTCATATGGATTTCTAGCTGCTGAAGCTACTTGTCGGGCTTTTTTTCAAGGAACTGCTCATGGGTTTTGACAGCTTCATTCAAACTGAAGGGGAGTGTGTTCCCTTCCCTCCTCTACCTCCCTTAGAAACATCCCAGTCTTTGCTGTATAGCTTCTGGTGATGCCGTGACTAAAATCCATCCCGGCTTGCTTTGATAAATTTCTCCTTTCTTCCTCGTTCATTAGCATTCCCTGAGTATATAACATGTGGATCTCTTGCATGAGATTCCTGCTTGTCCTTTCACATTGTCTTCAGGGTGTATCTGCAGCTTGCCCTTCATCTCCAACACAAGCCTGTTAGAAAAAAAAAAAAAAAAAAGCTTGCAGCACCTTCTGCAAGTAAGCAGTCTTGAAGGTGTCTCCAGGTGGGCTTTGCTTGCCTAGCCATGGCCTTTTCCAGCAGGATGAAGGAAAACAGCTCACATCTTGCAGGAGCTGTGGTAGCTCTGCAGAAGCTCTTCCTCCTTGGATAGCCTTGCCAGCACCACGCTGGCATCCTGAGCGGGGAGGCTTGGCAAAATAAGCAAGCGTGGTGTGGCTAACCAACCGTGCTAGAGCTTGGCAGGGACCAAGGCGGCTGCTGTTGAGTAGCCAGATATGACTGTGTTTCCAGTGGCCCGTGTAGATCACCATCTGCTTTGGGCTACATTGAGCATCTCACTTAAGTGTGATTTGGATGCCCAAGCTTAGGCTTCGCTGTTGCCAAATAGCTGATGGGAAGAGGCGGGTGCACGCAGAGGAAAGTTTCGGTGTCTGAGTTGAGTACTTAAGTGGCATGAATACCCCAGTGCATGTCTGTTTTTTAGGAGCTAGGGCTAGTAATATAGGGGCAGTCGGGTGAGGAGGGGGGATCTTGCCCCTGGTGAAGCTGACAGTGACTTGGACAGAGCAAAGATTTGCAGCTCCCTTCACAGGAAGAGCAAGGAGAGCACCAGAGGCAATGCCCTGGGGTGGAGTGCTCCTCCTGTTGGGTTTGAGCCAGCCCCCTGTCTTGTCCTCCTGTGCAGGTGGCTGCATCCCAGCACAGACTCTTGAGGTGAGGTGGGAGTGCTCAAAACAAATCCCAGTTTTCCCAGGTCTTCGGGTGCTGCTGCAAATGGTCCCTTGTGTATTTTCTGGCACGTGAGCAATGGGACATCTCTTTTCAGCCTAGAGAGTAGTAGAGAGCAGGATGACTGATAATACTGTTTTTACCATGTGTTTTTCTCACTTTACAAACCAGGACCCCCCTCTGCTCCTCGGAGTGCCATCTCAAATGTTAACGAGACTAGTGTCTTTCTGGAATGGATTCCCCCTGCTGATACTGGTGGAAGGAAAGATGTGTCTTATTATATTGCATGCAAGAAGTGCAACTCACACTCAGGTCTGTGTGAGGCGTGTGGCGGTCATGTCAGGTACCTCCCCCAGCAAACCGGCCTGAAAAATACCTCTGTCATGATGGTGGATCTGCTTGCTCATACAAACTATACCTTTGAAATTGAGGCAGTGAATGGAGTGTCCGACCAGAACCGCGGAACCCGGCAGTTTGTGTCTGTAAATGTAACCACAAACCAGGCAGGTAAGTGGATCTTCAACCTGGGGAAATGTCTGGGGTGGGAGCCCGAGCCAGTCAGACCCGGTGCAGACCTCCCTTTGAAATGGGTGGAAGTCCCCAGCATGGAGGGCTGGACTGTGGCCTCTTCAAATATGTGTGGGGGGGTGGTTGTGTCTCATAGGTTATAATTACTGCAGTCTTCAGCATGTTTCCTTCCAGCAGGATGCACTTTTAGGATTTGTGGCTTTTTCCTTTTATACTAAGCTACTTGGAGATCCCTCCACTTCTTTGCATTTTGGTGTATCCACCCACTAAACCAGAAAGAAAACAGTTGCCTTTTCTGTTGGGAAAGGGAAATTTCTAAGAGTTCATTTCGATTCCAAATGCCAATGGTTAAAAAGTCCTAACTTTGCAGACGGTTACTCTAAGAAAATTGTTTTGAGTGTCTTTGGGAAATTTAATCCCTCTTCTGCACTGTGATGCTAAAGTGACTGGCCTCAGGCTGGTGAGATACGGTATGCTGTCACTGCTTCTCCAACAAGGTAGGGCTGAGATGTCGATGCGTAATTGTCTCCTTCTTGGTTTTGCATTGTACAGGCGGAGATCATGTAGACTGGTTTGTTCCTTTGTCCAGGGCTCAGATCTGTCTGCCCCTCCTTTGCCCAGCGGTTGAAAATAGCTGTTGCCTTGAACGCAGGCAGGGTGTTGCCATTGTCCCCTGTCATTTGGAGGTGTGATGGGAGGCAAAACATGATTACATCTCCTTCCATGCACATCAACGCACCAGGCACATCACATGGCTTCTGTAATCCCTGGAGACCTTTCTATCCTTCTTTTCTTGACCCTCATGCTCTGTGTTTTAGGGTCTCTCCCTTTGCCTACCTGGCTTGCTTCCTGCCATTTAATTCAGGCCTCCCCAGTGGCACTTCTCTGCTGCAGAGCCCTTCCAGGAATGTGAACCGGTGGCATTTGGGACCGTGAGGACTGTGCTGCCAGATCACTGGAGCCACCCCTTGCCTTTTCCTTACAGATAAGGCTTAGCCGGGAAACCTGGTGCAGTATGCAGCATAACAGCTAGATGGAGATTGGCAGATCCTCACTGTGGAGCAGAAGAATGCTAGCTGGAGCAGGGCTGCATCTCATTCCTGCTAGCCAGGTGTACATGCATGGGCTTGGCAGCCAGCAGCAAGAGAGTGCGATGGCATTGCACTTCATCAGATACCTGTCCTGGTAATTAGACTGGATTGTTGAAGTGTTGGACAAATCGTTCGGATATAGCTCAAGGAGAGGAAATAAAGGCATGCCGGGGTTGCTGCTGATGGATGTGGCAGGAAATCTTCTGGCGAAACATCAGTGGATGTCAGTATGACACCTGTTGAAGGCACCTGTTCAATGCAGATCAGTGGGTGTCACGGTCCTAATGCTGTTTACTGTTTTCCCGTTGTGAAGGCTGCTGCCAGTAACTCTGTTGTTGGAAAAAGTATATTTTCCTGTTAGTGGGTTTGCATTAGTATTTCATCACTGGCATTGGATTTTCCCTGATGTGTGTAGTTAAATTCACATAAACCTCAGTAAATGTAGCTGCACGAGAGGAGATGATACATTGCTGATCAGTGCAGACTGTGAGGAAATGGTCCTGGTTTGTGGGTTATGTCCCAGACTCCCCATAGTTGCAGCAGGATTTATCCTCATAGCTGCCTTCCTGTGCATCAAGCCAAGAATAACTCCCTTGCACAGTTATCATCTCCAGTCTTGTATTGAAAGGTCCATTACAGGAAATGGTAGGCTTGCGACGAACATGGCTCATGCTAAGGACAAGTGGGTAAATGTAGCTTCTGGTTCAGTCTTGCTATTTACCCTGGTGGAGCCGCAATCAAGGGAGATACTAATGGATCAAGCCATGAGTGTTTAATTCACTGTGTGGTGTTTAAGTTGCATCTGTATGCTCTCGTGTTTGATTCAGCAGGAGTTTGAATCAAACTTCTGTCCAAAGCAAGGAGTGGTGACTGTATTTTGTTGTCTCTGGCCGGTCCCACTACTTGTTCAGGAGGAGAACCAGGCCTGTCTGCTGGAGCTGTAGCATCAAACTTGCTTCCCAGTTATGTGCTGTTTCAGCACTCCCAGGGGCGTGATCATCAGTTTGTCCGTGCCAGAAATAAAGCGGCTGTAGAGCGGGACTTCGCAAATCAGACTAGCTGCCAAGCATGGCAAGTGGATATCTGTTTTCTTAAGGTGCCTCTGAAAAATGTCCTTTGAGGCAAGTAATGGAGGTGTGCAGGTGGAGTGGTCCATGCCTGGCCATGCCCAAAGATGCTGGATATCGCTGAAAAACCCTCCACTTCAGCTATCCTCTCTCAAATAAGAGCAGGCAGAGCATATGGGGCTTCAGGGAGTCTCAGCCCACTCAGGGCACTTGGGGCTTCAGGAAGTCTCAGCCCACTCATCTTCTCTCTGAAATTACCACCAAGAGATGCAGCTCTGGGGCCTCATCCTTTCCCTCGCACAGGTTTTCTGATGGTATGATTATATTTTCATGAAGGCTGGTGTAATGAAGTCGAGTCACTAAAGGTAGTGTCATAAGGCCAACTGGAGCAGTAGGAGAAATCCTGCTACAAGAACTGCTGGCTGCAGAAAATGAAAAAATTCCATGCTGTGGGATAGGTCTGGCTGTTGGAGTCCCACTGGCAGGTATTCACGAACCCAGCACTGCAGAGAAATGCCAGGGTCTGTTTGGTTGGTTTGGCTTTTGTCCATCCTGAAAAGACCATGCTAATTTCAGGACTGCAGAGAATGCACAGGCAGTGGGGTGCTGAGCGAGCACCACCTCTTCTGTGCATGGGAGCTTTTCGCAGCAGAAACTACCTCTGGTTTGGGCTCTCAAAGGCATTGCTTCGTGGAAAAAAAGTGTTTGTCTCCAAAATAATTTGTCTCCCTTCGTCTCTCCCCAATTTAAAATAATGAGAAAAAGAATTGGCACTGGCAATCAATCTGGCATTTTCAGGCTGATGTAATTTTCCTCTGAACTTTTGAAATCAGATTTGGAAATACAGCAAGGAAACAGTAATGTTTTGTGCGCAAGAGGAGGCAGGCAGGCAGGCAGATCAGCTAATCTCAGCTGGTGACCCCAGCGTGTTTCTGCTCCTCCAGTCCCTGGTGACCTGATGGTACTTGGGATGGTACTGGTCCACATGGGACACAGTGACCTTAGGCTCCGGATACAGCATTAGTTCCCCTGTCACCCTCTTGCAATCTGCAAACCTCTGTTGTTTCTGTGGGATTTTGTAGATGTTTTCTGCTGGAAAACATGTATCTAGCAAGGGTGAGCAATGCCACAAGGCAGGGAGGTGGAAAGTGTGCTGGCCTCCATCGTGACTACCCTAGAGCTGCTGCAGGCAGACAGAAGACCTTACTGCCTTCGCAGGCACGTGGGTTGGCCAAAGCATGGTTCTCACCTACGGGATTGCTGCAAAATACGTGCCCAAGGGACTTCCCAGCACAGATGGCAGGGAGCCATCTGTAATGCACTCTCACAGCCCATTAAAAAGTGTGCCTCATGCACGTGGGCTAGAGCCCAGTGAATAATTCATAAGTGGCAATGATGGGATTGAGTTAGCCATCCTTTTCTTGCTTATGGTTTTGCTCAAGTTTTTCCATATTTTTGAAACTGCCACCTATTTAGGCGGTTTCCAAAGAGCAGTCCACGTGTGCCGCTAATATTGAAGTTTGCTTTTCAAGTGACAACTGTGTGATGTTTGTTTTTTTTTCTCAGCAATTTCACCAAGCTGGATGATTAAGTAACGCTGTCACTCTAGACAGAGATGTGCATCTCCCTTGAGGTCTTTCATCTTATCTGCCCTGTATACAGAAAGCACCTACCATGACGTCTCGGTCAGAGACGTGTGTCTCGTAATGGGTCCGTAGGGAGCAAGCAGTTGTGATTCATGGTTGCCTGAGCGCCCGTTGTATCATTGTAGGAGCACGCTGGGAAGATGCAATGTTTAAAATCTTTCTAGGCTTAAAACCTGCCAAGAGTATTCACTTTAAGCCAGCCTAAACAGCCAAGCAATTTTCTTTGCTTTTCGTTTCCAGCATCTCCCATGCTGGGCATGGCTTCAGGCATGGAGCTGGCCTGGAGGTGGGGGGTATAAGAGTGGGGTGGTTCTCCTGCTGGCATCCCAAATGCCACGGACTCCTTTACGCTTAAAGACCTTCTCTGTGTGTGTTTTCAGATAAGACCCCTGCCTGTTTTCTGTTTGAAAAGTCAGAAGCTAGTGTTCAATCCCCTTCTGTGACCTGTGTGATATTTTTGAGCCTTTTGGGGGAGAAGGGGAAGAAAGATCCTGACGTGCTGCTTGCTAACAGAGGAGGAGTTAACATGTCTAATGCCTCAAGGAGTCTGCATGCCCGAGGCCAAACCAGAGATACAAGTTGCATCCCGTGGTGCAGCAACGCTATTTAAGCAAAGGTGTTGGAGGGCAGGACCTGGCAACCCGTACTGCTGCCTGGGAGGCATGGCTAGATTCTTGCTTGACCAAAAAAAACCACTAGATGCTTGGAGCAGCTGGAAAGCTCTTGGAGCAGGGAGATGTGCTAAGAGCCATGATCCACGCTCTGATTGTGCAGGCTGGGATGCTGCAGCGTGGGGGGAGCAAGGGAGGTGTTTTCCTTAGCACTTGGGATGTATTAGTCTTTGAAAAGCAGCCAGGGGTGATTTGGAAAGGGAAACCTGCAACACAGAGCTTGTTGCAATCTTATGTCAGCAGCTGCGTGCTCTTGAAACCGATAGACTGCAGCCCTGGCACAATCTGGGAAGAAAACACCAGAAAATGAGGCAAGAAGATGGCTGTGCTGGGAAGCATGTTTCAGAGATTGCCTTTGGGAATGGACAGGTTTAAGTCCTGTAATGTTTAGGGTCTGATTCTCGCAACTTTCAAGTCTCACAGGCTTGTTTGGTTTGGCTTGGGGAGGGGGGCAGCTTGCTTATTTTCTTTAGGAATAACAAAACATTTCAAAGAGGGTGTTCC